GTTCCCCACACCCCTACCCTCCCTTCACCCCCTCCACCCTCCCCTATTTACAAAGACTTTCTTTCCGTTTTTTCTTTTTCTCATATTTTTTCTTTTCCCTACCCTTCCCACTTACCCTACACCTTTAGCCCTTTTCTTCCTATTTCACATTGTCAGTTTTGTTGTTTATTTCAATAACTGAAGTTGTTGGCAGCTTAAGTAACAATATTATAACTACAAGATGTTTTATGTGGTCTTATGGCAACCACAAAGAACAAAACTTTGAGAAGTTACATAAAGATGAATAGAAAGGATTAAAACATACTACTAGAAAAACAACATATCATTAGCAAGATTGTTAGGAAGGAATAAAGGAAGGACAAAATGCAGTAAACAGTTAATAAAATGTCAGTAGAAAGTCTTGGCTGGTAAAAATTACTTTAGATGTAAGTGCGTTAAATTCGCTAATCAAAAAATTGGAATGGTTGCATAGATTAAAAAAAAATAAGATTCCATAATATGCTGCCTACATTTTAGCTTTAAGGACAGACAGACAGAAAGGGCAGGGAAAAATATTCCAAGCAAATGGAAAACCAAAAGAGAGCAGGGGTAGCTACCCTAATTTACAAAAGAAATTTAAGTAGAACATTGTAAAAAGAGACAAGGCCATTATGTAACTATAAAGGTATCAATTCATCAAGAGAATATATCACTTTTCTTTTCTTTGTACCGGGGATCAAACTCAGGCCCTTGTGCTTATGAGGCAGGCAGCAGAACCACTGAGCCAAATGCCCAGCCCTCACTTTTAACTGTGTATGTGCTCAACTTCAGAATAACTGAATATCTTAATGAACACGAGAGGAGATGTGGATAACAATACAATAATATCACAGGCCATCAATACCCTGCTCTCAACAACGGGCAGATCATCCAGGAGGAACGCGATAGGGAACACGGGGCTGGAAATGTATCCTATACTGAATGGACCCAAAGGACACATAAAAACTGTTCCATTGGGCCGGGGATTTAGCTCAGTGGTTCCACTGCCTGCCTCACAAGCACAAGGTCCCAAGTTCGATCCCTGGTACCTAAACAAACAAACAAACCGTTCCATCAAACAGCAGCAGAATAGACATTTTCCTCACATACACAAACTCCTCTAGGTCATAACAAACGTTACACTGTAAAACAGGTCTTAGCAAATTGAAGAAGGTTGAAATCAAATCAAGTATATTTTCTGCTCAAAATGGTATGACCTAGAAACTAGTAAGAGAACTGCTGGAAGATCTGAAAGTATTTAGAGATTAAACAACATGATTGGACACCAAGGGCCCAAGGACGACAGCAGAAGAGAAGTTACAAAGTACCTTGGGGAAGAGCTGTGGGTGCCCTTCACGGCAGAGCACCTGCCCCGTGTGCACAAGGCTCCGAGTCCAACCCAGCACTGCAAGGAAAAAACCCTGAGACAAACAACGGAAGCAGAACATGCTAGACTTAGGGAACACAGTGACAGCTGCCCCAGGAGTAATGCTCACAGCAATAAACACCCACATTACAGAGACAGAAACATCCCAAACATGCAAATGTTACACGAAAAGGAACTAAAAGAAGAACAAAGTAAGGCCAAAGGTACTAGAAGAAAAGGAGTAATAATGATCAGAGTGGAATACATAAAATAGAGAACAGAAAAACAACAGGAAAAGGTCAGTGAGGGTAAGAACTGGAGATTGAACCCAGGGAGCGCTGAGCTACAGCCCAGCCCTGAGTTTGTGTTGAGAGATTCCCTCACTAACCAAACCAGGTTGGCCTCAGTTGTGACCCTCACAGCTCAGCCTCTGGAGTAGCTAAGTCACAGGCATGTGCCGTCACATGCGGCTTAAAAGGTTTTTTCAAAAGATAAAAAAAAGAAGAAAAAGACTCAGGCCTGTAGACCAGAAATAAAGACACTATGACAACAGGATGAAATACAGAGCGTTGAAAGGGACTAGTAAAAATCTGCCAAAACATCCAATAACAGAAGCAGTGGATGAGCTCCTAGTAACAGACCTTTCCATGGTTGTATCATGAATAAATCGAAAATCTGAAGATTAAAACGAAAGAGTAAAGAGTCAATAAGTAGGGCTGGGGATTTAGCTCAGTGGTTTGGTGGCCTACGTTGCAAGCGCAAGGACCCGAGTTCGATCCCTGGTACCAAAAAAAAAAAAAAAGAAGAGTCAATAAGTAAAACAAAGTCTCCTATTTTGAAATGGCAAGGACCAGATGGCTTCATAGTAGAATTCCACCAAACATTCAAAGAATTGTACAGATTTTTCTGAAATTCTTCCAAGAAATCAAAGAGGAGGGAATATTTAATTTTTCTCTCCCTCACTCCCGTATGTGTGTGTGTGCGTGTGTGTGGGCGCGTGCATGCATCCAGGCCCTTCACACTGAGCTACATCCCCAGCCCTTTATTTTTATTTTAAGGCAGAGGCTCACTGAATCTCAATGAGTTGCCCAGCAGGGCTCAAACTTGCTATTCTCCTCCCTCAATCTCCCGGGATGCTGGGGTGACAGGCACACACCACAGGGCCAAGGAAGAAATACTTCCAAACTCATTTTATTATGAGGCAAGCATCACCCTGATCCTAAACCCAAACAAGGACATGCCAAGAGAAGAAAACTATAGGGCAACAGCCTTACTGAACACAGATGCAATACTTCTTGATAAGATACTCGCAAATGGAATGCACAAGCACGCACATCAAAACAATCTTGCACCATGATCAAGTGGGACTTACCTCAGGGATGCGAGTATGAGTCGATACACACAAATTTAGTCTGGGGATGTAGCTCAGTGGCACTGTGCCTGGCTTGTAAGCATAAGGTCCTGAGTTCGATCCCTGGTACCAGAAAACAATGTACAAATCTAATGTGATACATCAAATTAATGGAAGGATGTACAAATGACACATGATGATCTGGAGAGATGCAAAAAAAATCACTGACCAGGTTAAACACCTTTTCCTGATAAAAGTCAGTAAGTCAGGTATAGAAATAACGTTCTTCAGATACATCAGAAGCATACAATCAACTCCATAATTAATAGTGATAAGTGAAAGGTTTCCTCCGGCATCAGGAACAAGAAAAGAAGCCCCTGGTCATCACTTCTGTACACACAGTGACTGATCCGAAAAGGAACCAAGAAAGCAAACTCACTGGGCCAGGGACTTAGCTTAACAGCACTGTGCCTGCCTCACAAGCGCAAGGTCCTGAGTTCAATACCTTTTACCAAAAAAAAAAAAAAAAAAAAAAACAGGAAAAATAAAATAAAAAGGAAGCAAACTCATAACAGCATTGAGAAACAAAACAGACCAAGCAAATCTAAGCTAGGATGTGTAGACCTGCATGTGGAAAAGTATAAAACATAGATTAAAAAAAACTGAAGAAAACACAAAAGACAGTCCACATTCATGGATTAGAATAATCAATATTGTTGAAAATGTGCATTATTTTTATTTTTTTATTTTTTTGGGTTTTTTTTTAGACAGGGTCTCACTATGTAGTTGATACTGACCTGGAACTCACTATCTAGACCAGGCTGGTCTCGAACTCACAGCAATCCTCCTGCCTCAGCCTCCCCAGTGCCGAGATTACAGGTGTGTGCCACCACGCCCACCTAGAAAATGTGCATTATTATTAATCAAAGTGATCTCCATTTTCAATGCAATCCCTACTGATCAGTATTTTACACACATACTTGTATAATTTATTTTGATTCACAAAATATTCCAAATACCCAAAGCAATATTCAGTGAAAAGAACAGAACTGGAAACATCATGTTACCTTGAATGCCCGTAACAATGGAATGTAATAAAATTTTTTCCCTTTAAGTCCTTGTTCCTTGAATTTTTCTAGGTAACATATATAAATATCTTGCAAAAATTCAAAATATTGCAACCTTCAGAATAAATGGGTCAATTTTGTCAGGCCTGGCAGTGCACAATTATAATCCCAGCACTCAGGAAGCTGAAGTAGGAGGGCTGCCATGAATTTGAGGCCAGCCTGGGCTACATAGTGAGTTCAGAGTCCAGAGAGCTAACCATTATGCAATGGAACCATTGCACAGTGAGTTCACAGTGAGTTCAAGGCCACCCTGAACCACACAGCAAAACCATGTCTCAATCTCTTCCACAAAAAGATAACCTCCCTGAACAAAAACAAACAATAAATCAAAAGGACACAAAGTTTCACTTTGAGAATAGGTTCTGTAAATAACAACATGAATGTTCTCATTACAAAATCAAGAGAGAGGAGGCATTTATTAATCAGCTATTTTATCAAAATATGTTGCATACCACTATGCCAAAAAATAGTTACAATCCCTTTCTCCCCATTAAAAGAAATCTAGCATTGGATTCCATGTAAAAATCAACCCTTTCTTCTTCCAGCCACATGCTAATATGATGGTAAAATTAACCTCCAGTAGGTATTTTTCTTTTTTGGTACCGAGAGATTGAGCTCGGGTCCTTGTGTGCTTATGAGGCAGGCGGTGTCACCACTGAGCTAAATCTCCAGCCCCTAGGACGTATTTTTCTATATACTAAGATTCTTTTTGAGATAGGGTTTCACTATGTAGTCCAGGCTGCTCTTGAACTTGTGGTGATCTTCCTGCCTCAGCCTCTGGAGTGCTGGAGTTATTGGTGTGTGCCACCATGCCCAGCATACACTAGGATTCTTAGAAAAGAAGAGCTCTCAGGAGGATCTGATCAATTCTTCCATGAGTCTGCGACATCACTAGAGGGCTGGTCAGGGAGCAGTGCACAGAGGGATAATTCATCCCTGGGGAGGAATTACCGGGATAAAGTGTTATTAAGGGAGGATAATTTGGTCCAAGAAAAGTAAGTAGTTCTGTCATATAAACAGTCATGTAATGAACAGAAAGGAAGTCACCTGAGCCTTGACTTTAAGATGTGCGCGGTTCTTTCTCCTGATGGTGGTTTCTCTCCAGCGGCCCAGAGAAACAGGAGGCGAGAATGAGACACAGAGGCATCTTCGGAGCACCGGCTACGTTAAAATTGCAGCGGGAAGCCGAGCAGCGCCCAGGTTACAGGTAACACCCACCAGAACCAGGAAGGCGCCGGCCGTGGGAGTGCCCAGCCGGGGGCCCCTCGCTTACCTCCGCAGGTACAACGGGAAGCTCTCGTGGTGCTCCTGCCTCCCCGATGCCAGCCGCTGCCCCTCAGCCGACCACGCATCGTGGCACAGCCATGAGAGGCGCGCACAGCGCCCCACAGGTGTGCGCCTGTCACCTCTGAGGCGCAAGCGCATCCCAGTGTCGCAGCGGCATCACAGGTACTGACGCTCACCCGACTGGCTCCCACAGACACCGACGCCCACTCGCACTCCTGTTCACGGCACAGGTACGGAAAACCATCGCTGCATCACTCTTCCCGCTCCCGCGATCCCGTTCAACTGGCTACGCACGCCAGTGCGCAAGCGCACAACCGCAGGCCTGACCACCCTGTGAGCTGCGCCTGCGCTACACACTGTGAGCACATGCGCAGTGAAGCTTCGGTCCGCTCTTCCCCAGTGGCCCAACCCACTGTGACGTGAGCAAACAACGGTGTCCATGGAAACCCATGCACTCCTGTCCCAGATGCAGCGTGGGACAGCAGCGCGGGCTATCAGTGTAAACTAGGGGTTACTGAAGAATAAAACGGAGGAGGTTAAGGCAGGAGGATCGCGGTGAGTTCGAGATCAGCCTGGGCTATAGAATGAGTTCAGGGCCAACCTGAACTATTAAGCGAGGCACTGTCTCAAAAAATCAAAAACAATACAAAACAAAAATTCCGAGCCTAAATTTCTTGCAGCACATTCCCTCCTGCTAATGCCGTGCAATTACAGACTGGTCATCTTCAAAGGCAGAAAAACAACCACCACATTTACAATCATGCATGATAACTGTGCATGCAATTTACCTGGAAAATTACAAATGGAGTTACAGAAAGGACCTCAGGCTAGGGGTTCCTGTTCTGCACCACGTGAGGCTCTGGTTCAGGATGTGACCTCTCGGTACCGATCCGTTGCCTCCATGTGGGTATTAACCGTGATCTCTGAACATCCAGGCTTTCATATAACCATCTCCACTGTCTACTAAAAACGCAACTCAGACGGTCAGGAAAAAGCCAAGCAGGGATGAAATTCTTTTCTTTCTTCCTTTCTTTTTTGCAGCGGGCATCGAACTCAGAACCATGCACTTGCGAGGTAGGCGGCGGAACCACTGAGCTACGTCCCGGGGCCCCGTGGCTGACGTTCTGAAGCCACAGATCAGGCTCAGCAAACTACAGGGCGAGTCCGGGCCTCAGCCTGTTGTTGAGAGCTAAAAAACTTTAGATTCTTGAAGGGTTTTATAGACGGAATTAAACAAGAAACAAAGGAGAAGGAGGGAGCACAATTTCTCATTCCTTAAATGTCAGCCGAATGTGGTGACTTCTGTCAAGGGTCACAGTGGGAAAACGCAGGGGGAGGAGTAATTCCACAGTATAGGAAGCTGACAAACATGTCCTCAACCAGGTGGTGAGGGCCAACCTGAATCGTATAAATCATTAGTCTGTACCCTTGCCACCTCGTGGTTAGCATGGGAATTTACTACTTGATCATCTTCCCCTAAACTTACACACCCACTCTAACCTTGAGAAAAATGTTGGGTAAATTCCACCAGAGAAATAGCCAACAAAATGCCAAGGTCATCAAAAATGAAGTTTGAGAGGCCCAGAGATTTAGCTCAGTGGTGTCACTGCCTGCCGTGTGAGTGCAAGGTCCTGAGTTCCAATCCCCAGTACCAGCAAAGAAAAACCAAAACAACAAAGTCTGAGAAACTGCCACAGCCCTGTGGAACTTAAGGCAAGGAGACAACAAAACGGAAGGTGCTGTCCTGGAGGGGATCCTGGAACAGATGAAGCTAATTAGGTAAACACTAGAGAAACGGCTTAAATCATGAATTTTAATGAATAATAATGCATTAAAATTGGCTCATTAATTGTAACAAGTGTTTCCCACAAATCTGTGAATAAAGAAAACTAGGTACAGGGTGTTCAAGAACTCTTTGCAAATCTACAAATATAAAACTGTTTTGGAAAGAAGCTATTTAAAAACTATTCTGTTTTTTTGTTTTTTGGTACTGGGGATCGAATTTGGGACCCAGCTCTTGCGAGGCAGGCGGCGGAACCACTGCGCCAAATCCCTGGCCTGAAGCTATTTAAAAGAAGAAAAATGTGCAGCCACTGGTGGTGTACAAAGCATGGAATACCCACTACCTGCCCTTTACAGAAAAAATGAGGAACCTTTGTTCTAGATCCCAAATTAATACTCAAATCAAACCGTATTACACATTACGGTTCACACAAAGAAGCAACCAAAAACCTGACATTGTCAGGTTCAAGAAGCCCTCGTGAGTGGAGCATTCTGAGCCACTGATTACCCGGGAAAGTCCCTGCCTTCACAAAGACCTCATTTTCTTTTTTGTGCTGAGGATGGAACCTGGCCCCATGCAGGATTATACAGTGCTGTTCCGCCGAGCTACACCCTACAACCTGAGATACACCCTGCTCTTAAAAGCCCTGCGGAGCTGACATTTTTGACATTTACCTAGTAAAACAACCAAACGGTCGCCATCCTTGCTATGCCCTGAAACCCTCATGAAGAAGACCAAGTTATTCAGTGTTTGATTCCGCCCTAAAACTGATCTCCTCCTTTCCAGAACACACTCTAAGATTAACATTAACCTAGGACAGTGATGGTGAACCTTTTAGACGGATGCCCAAATTGCAACCCAAAACCCATGTATTTATCTCAAAGAGCCAACACTGCAATTAAGTCTGAATACTGAAGCTTTAGTTTAGAAAAAGCAACTCATACATTAACATCTTTTTTCTTAAAAGTAAAATAAATAACATGCACTCCATAGCTGTGCCACCACTGATTTAGGAGGTACATTTTTCTGAACTATCAGATTCTTAGGAAAGCAGAGGGAGGTCACAGGATTTGGACAATTTTCCAAATAGGGCTGTGACTACTCGCGGTGGAGGCTACAGTGGGGGACACCTGTGCACAGCCCCTGACGTGCCCCAGGAGGGAATTCCTGGCACAGGTTGCTATCGGGGAAACAGCCAGCACCAAAGAAAGAACATGGTCCTAAGCTGTAAAACAAATCATTTAATGAAGATAAAGGAAACTCACCCAAACCCTGATTTTAACATGTTATACGATTTCTCTTCCTCCTCAGGATGGTTTTTCTGAAGGACAGCTGGCCAGGGGGGCAAAGGAAGATAAAAAGGAGACACAGGGACCCTCTGGATACAGGATATGATAGAAAACTCCCTCCAAACCACACTTGTGTCCAGCACACATTCAAATCAATCAAAAATAAGAGGGGCCTGGGATCTGGGTGTTTGAGAGATTCCTAGGGCGTGTAGGCTCTGGTTGCTGGAGCTCTTTCTTTTAACACAGCAGAAGAGATGATTGTCCATGTGCTACAACCAGGCATGACAGAGAAGAAAACTGGTCAAGTCCGCCACTGGTCCAGGGCGAAGGACTGATGGGGACCACTTTAGCTATGAACAAGGTGCATCTCTCTGAGGTGGTCTGGGTGATCTGATGCAGATGGAGGTGTCATCCCCTGGGACACAGTCTAGACAGTAGCACTCAGTCCAACAACGTGTACCAGTGTCCTTGGCCTCTGGCACGCCTCCTTTCTGCTCCTTTGGCCCCCACGGGTGACGAGATACCATAGTTGGACTCTGTCTCATCTTCCTTCTTTTGTGCTTCAGCCTGAGCATTCGCTTCCTCCTTCACTTGGCTCTAATGGCGCAGAGGTTTCTAAGATGCTGTTAAAACCGAGGGTAACCGGCATTCTGAAACCTGTAGCTGGCCCTCTCCTGACGCCATCTTCTTCCCTCAAATAAATTTTTATTCCTGAGGCTACTGTTCTTTTTGTTAAGGTACTGTGCATAAAGATTCCTATTTCATGACTCTAAAATTCCTATTTCATGACTATGTCTTTGCCCCTCTTCTTGGCCATTTTCATGCATGAGTCGGCTGTCATGTCCTTCTGGGGCTACTGCTTCCAAACAAGGACGATGGAGTTGGAAAGTGAAGTCGGAGAAAGCAGGAGGCGCTGGAAACAGGTCAGGCTCACAGCCACCTGTGCACCCTTAACAGGCCAGGCACCCAAGCGCGTTCTCGGCCGGGTCACAGTTACCCAAGCCTAGGCCTTTTCACACCTGATACCATCAGGGACACCACGCAGGGACACAGTTCACAGTTAAGGAGGCACACGGTGGCCAGGCCACCCCTGCAGAAGCCACACAGCCAAGGGAGGCAGGGCCTGGCTGCTTTCCTGTCTGTAGCCGGCGTGAGGCCCAGATCCTCCACCCCACAACTGCTCGCTCCTGCACACTTATGTCGGTTGTGGGGACACAACCCACATCGCAGATGCTCAGACGCACGCATCTCAGTCCTGGGACGCAGCAGGACCCCTTCACGCAGTCTGACGCTGACACCACCGCACTTCCATCCTTGGCTGCTTTCAAAGCCTGGGTCCAGGGTGCTTTTTCCCTTTTCCTTAAACAGTGCCTCTCCTTCGCCACCACTGCTCGCAGCAGCCAGCTTCGGGCTCTTGCAGCCTGAACAAGTCTCCGCTTGGAGTCCAGTCCTACTTCCCGCTCCCAGACAGCAGGAGGGGAAGCGTGGCTCCAGGAGAACTGTGTCAGGGGTCAGGTGGAATCCATTTAAAAAATCGCGGGGGCAGGAATCACGCCTCCCAGCAGGCAAATCGGCAGGCTCCTCATTGGGCTGTGCCGCAGAGACCTCTGGGAAATATAGTCTTCGGCAAGGGGATCCACCGAACCTGGGGCTGGAAACCATGGCTTCCCGGCATGCAACTCTACACAGATCTACGGGCCCTGGGCCGCAGAGACTTCTGGGAAATGTGGTTCACCCGGTGGGAACTGCGCAGCTCCGGGTGATTAGCTTTCACTGTGTTCCACATTTCCTTCGTTCGTTTGTGTGTTCTTCCTCCCTCCCTTCCCCCTTTCTTCTTTCTCTTTCAACTTCCTTTCTTCAAAAACAAAACAAAACAAAAAAGCTGGACGTGGTGGCTCACGCCTGTAATCCCAGCACTCGGGAGGCTGAGGCAGGAGCATCGCTGTGAGTTCGAGACCAGCCCGGACTACATAGTGAGTGCCAGGTCATTCTCAACTACATAGTGAGACCCTGTCTAAAAACAAAAACAAACAAACAAAACAACTTCCCTTCTTTTTTCTTAGCACTGAAGATTGAACCCGGGGCCTTTGTACTGAACTACATCCCCAGCATTAATTTTTATTTTGAGACAGGGTCTTTCTAAGTTGCCTAGGCTGGCGTTGAGTTTGTGATCCTCTCACTTCATCCTCCACAGTGCTAGGATTACAGGTGTAATAAACAGCTCTATCACCTCTTTGTTGATTTCTG